GCCTATGCCTACTGTCTGTTGTAGGGCGCAAGGGTAGTCCTAATTTCATAATTATATAATAATATTAATTAGGCCATTGCTAGGCCATAGGATTATATCTTAATTATATTTCATTAATTTGTATTTTTTCAAATGTAAATTCTTTAAAGTTAAAATGTTTTAAATTAATTTTTAAAATTGATGATATATTTTTCTACATATTTATTTTTGTATTTCACTAACTTTTAGGTAATTGGTTTTTGTGTTTAATTTTGTTTTATTATAATAAAGGCCTATTATAATCTACATTATTTATAATATTTTATTTACACAAGGCTAAATATTTTATTTACAAGTGTTCATGGGCGTCGATCGGTGGGGAAGAGGGGGACGCGTTCCCCCACTTTTCAAAGTAGGGGGACATCATATCTATTGCCCCCCCCCCACTGTTCACCAATCTTCTATAATTAAATCCCCACTTTTAAAAGCGAATGGAAAGAATAACAATTACGCATGACTCATGAATTTTGTCTAAGTGCGGTACGTATTTTCCGGACCAAAACCTAGTAAAAACGCAATTGTTTATACATTTCGTAACCATCTCAGAAACCACTAGATCGATTTTATGGGTGAAACTCAAAAGTGCACAATTTCTACTATAAACGATTTAGTCCTTTTGTATATTATTATGACCCGTACGTTATGCTAGTGTTTAATATTATCTACATACATAAGATTACTGTTTTTCTAATTTCAAAAAATTATATTTCGGCAATTGAATTTTCTATAGCCATTATTAAACAATAATTAGACAGCCTTTGACACGGATATGTATATTTCGATTAAGTGAGAGGCATACCAACAGTTTACAAACTCCAGTGTTACGTTGACGCAATCTCGCAATGACGTCATAATAATCAGTGGCGGATTCAAGTGGGGCCGAGCCGACCCTACATTTTTCAAAATTATTTTTAAAAAATGGAAAAAAAAAAACAAAGGAAAATTATAATTAGAATTACGTCTGAGAGTGCCATTTCCGGCAATCTAGAGGTGTCATAATCATACATTTTCTTTCTTCAGCCCCAACCATGGTGGGACTGAGGTGATCTACTTTCCCAAATTGTGAAATTCTCTCCCTGTCCCCCATTTAATTTGCTTTCCTGGAGCCGCCACTGATAACGATAAATTAAGTAAATCACCTTTATGTTTGTGAAATCAAAATGCTAACTAATGTTTTGTGTGCTTCCTCCCTAGTCCTGTTTGATCGTAAACTAGACGGTATTATTTTCACTCACAATAGTGTAGTCGCAATATTACTTACACAAAAGTGAAATTCAAAAAAAGGAGAAAAGCAAAAACCTCTTGATTGATTTTAAAAGTACTGTACATGTATGTAAGAAGACTAAATTAATGACTGTTTTAAGTTTATCATATTTGTTTTTCTTGGTTCGAATTTTGAATACGTTACAAGCTAATCAGTAGATAATAAATCATTATTTTTATGAAGGTTAGTTTGCACGAAATACATAAGTGGGCATAATTATGAGTAAAAGGATAATTTTAAAAACTTTTTTTATAATGAGTATTTTAGTGGCAGATTCAAGGGGCCCAGTCGGCCCACCGTCCCTATTTTTTATTTTTTCGAAATTAAAAGTGGAAAAAAAATTAAAATTATATTCAAATTCAGTCTGAGAGTGCCATTTCCGACCAACTAGAGGTGCCATAATCATACATTTTCTTACCTAAGCCCCAACCATGGTGGGCCTGAGGTGGTCTACACTCTCCATCTGTAAAAGTCCCTCTCTGGGCCCAGCTCTATTTCAAATTACTGGATCCGCCACTGAATATTTTGAAAACCCACCGCTCGCTAAAATAATAATTTTGAATAAAAATGAAATTTTATTTTTGGCTAATTAGCACACTTGCCATCACAAGTAGAAATTTCAGAGGAATTAAAAAAAATAAAAGTTTTTCAATATTTTTATTATGCCCGCCGCTGCCTTAAAATAAGAATTACGTATTTCTATTCCTAATTATATAAATTTAAAGCACTTAACCATCCCATTACTACAGTGTTCCACCAAACAAATTTTATTTTTATTTTCTTCTCCGTCTAGATGTTTTAGCAAAATTATATTTGCTAACTAAAAAAAATAAAAAAATAATTTTTCAAGATATTTAAAGAGAACATTACCTTTCATTGTTGAATTGGATTTTTGAATGTTTTTTTGTTTTGTTTTTGTTTTGTCTTTTATTTTAGAGTTCTTGGCAGTCAGCCATCATAAATCATTTCAAGAATATCATGAAAACTGAACGAGTTGCATCTGAAAATGGAACTGGAGGTGCAGCAGTGATAAAAAAAAAGAGATAGAAAGAAAAGAAAATGTGAGGTAATAGAAACAGAGGATGACAAAGTTCAAAGTTGATTTACCAAAATTATGCGTTAATAAGCAACCTATGTTTTCCAGCAGAGAAATATCTTTGAACATCCTGTTTCCATTAATTAAACATCATGGAGGGATATTCCGCACTCCAGTTGGTGTCAGAGTTATGTACATTATACCAGGGTAGGGCGATACCATATGCGGCGTACGGGACATTCAGAACCTTTTTTGCAGCCTGATTAATAATTAATATTCAAAAGAAAAATATTTTATCACAATATGTATGTTGTACAATAAGTAACAACACATGATTGCCATTTTAGCTGAAATCAGGTTTTTGGAGGGAAAATATAAAAAAATTGTTGTAGCCATACTTAAAATGAAGTCAGGAGTCCCAAGAAGAAATTAAAACCAGTTTTTTTTTTTCAGATACACATTGATATTATTTAATTAACCGCCTTTTAGAAATTTGGGGTCAGTTTGGCGTACGGGACAGCCAAAATGTGGCGTACGAGACATTTCTGAATAAGTCCTTTAACTGATACAAACTTAATGTAGCCATACTTAAGACAGAGTCAGGATTCCTAAGAAAAGAAAAGCACCTGTTTTTTTTTAAATAATTGCCACCTTTTAAAACATTTATGCAAGTGAGATGTACGGGACAGCCAAAGTACGGGCCATCTCTGAATGAAGCCTAAATTTATATACAGAATAATCCATTTTACATATATATAGGATTTTTTCATTTGCTTAGGCCTACCCTGATCCTAAATTATGTACAGGTAACGTGTCTTTGGATTATGCTGAGGTTAAAAAAAAATTTCCCCATAGTAAACATAATTTTTGAGATTTTGAGTACTTGAATATATAGGCATTTCCCTGTAATGATAGTATATAGTGGATCTACATTGAATTGAACTAATATTAATTTACAAAACTTTTCTTAAACAATATACTAAGATATCACTCTAAACT